AAAGAGGGAGAAGGGGGAAGAAAGGAAGAAGAGGCAGGTCGCGCCGAGCGGACCTGACACTAATAGAAGTCTGAGTGTATATAGCTAACAATAAAAGGACATTTTCTCTCTGTTTCTAGTAGTATCTAGCAATGCAAATAGTTTGGAATTTATTTGCCAAGATTTTGACATTTCTCTCTGATGCTGTGTTCTCCTTTTTTTGATCTAGTGTCTAATGACTGAGCTGCAGTGTCTATGAGAGTCTATGAGAAGTGTTTACAGCGAATGTGCATCTCTGCGGACTACTACAGAATTAATGCCACCACACACTTATACCCACACTGGAAGGGGGCTGGGCAAACCGAATGACCAACTATGCAAGCAGATCTACAGTGCTGTGCAAACCTTTTAGGCAATAATAGCAATAATAATAGCTTTTATCAGTTAGCAGGGATTGATTGTGCAATAAACAGAACATTTACTGTAATGTAACTTATTCTTTCAGCTGTAAAATTTAATGTAATTCAATGTAAAGGGCTGCCATAAATTTAAACTTTATGAAGTTTATAATGTTCAGGTTCAGGCTAAATTATTGTTTATTGCTGAGGTAATAATTAAAGGTGTTTTGTACTAAACAACATTAAGACTGAGACGTGTTTTTAATTTTTTGCCCTCCATGTTTAGCTACATGAGAATAAAAACACCTCTGAATATTGGGCAGTTCAGTGCAACACAACTACTAATTATGATCAAAATACTAAAACATAGTGGAATTAATATAACAGTATGAAAAAACTGAACATTGCAGGTGTCATAAAATCAGAATGAACTGTTGTATTGGACAGCATTAGACTGAGCAGACATTTTTATAGATACTAAATTCAGTATATAATTAGGAGAAGAACTCCACCTCCCTTAAACCCATCACATCTGTTCAAAAGATGTTGTTGGCAACAAAACACGTAATGTACAAAACAAAGACAGGAGAAAAAGACAGTTTGCTTTTCTTGTTTATTTCTGCATTAAAAAAACTGATGCATGTTTTCAGAACCACGTGACAAATGGCTTATGACAGTCCGTGAAATGAATATGCAGCGTATCCTTAATACTGATTTAGTCAGTGCAGATGCATACTTTGTTTAATGAACAATGAAACAGAACCAGAAACATAGCGGACACATGCAAGTACGCTTCACTAACATGCTTGATTTTTTAATGCATTTAATTTGGTCTTCTTTGCACATTATATATCAAAGACATAAATCTACTATTTGATGGCATACCAGTAGATTTTTAAATTTTTATTGACTGAGTACAGTGTTAGATGTGCAGCAATGTATCCAAGCATGCAAACAACACTACTGAATGATGACATATAGCTAATTAGTTTGGGTGATGCTGGATAGATCACCACCACTATGTTAAATACTTGTGTAGTAATGTGCTTTTATGTGTGGTAACAAGCCAGCATCAGCCATAAATGGCTTAAAAACAACAACAACAACAACAACAACAACAACAACAACAACAACAACAACAACAACAACAACAACAACAACAACAACAACAAGGAACGTTTTTTGTTTTCCTCAGACTAATATAAGTAAACTCCA